AAAGGGGGTGTCCATTTTAAAGACCTTAAGGATTTCATGTTCCTTAAGGTAAGGATTAAGGTAATTCATGTTGATTGCAGAAAATCTGAAAAATGCAGAAAGAATAGAAGGAAACACGGTAGAAAAAATCAATCAAATCCTATTTATAATCAACACTAAATTGTTGGTGAACTGCTTTCCAGGTGGAGATATTTGTCTTAGTTCAAAGTTAGAATCATGCCTACTTGTTATGTGAATAAACCTTGAAGACAGTGGGCTAAGTGAAAGAAGCCAAATGCAAAAGGACAAGCATTGTATGATTCAACTCATAAGAGATACAAATAACAGCCAAAGTAAAGATAAAAAGTAGAGTATTGGTTACCAGGGACTGCAGAGTTGCGAGGAGAATGGAGAGTTATTGTTTGATGGGTACTGAGTTTCAGCTGGGGAAGGCAGACAAAGGTGATGGTTGCACAACATCTGTCTCTTATACACATCTAGATGTGGCTGGGGAAGGCACACAAAGGTGATGGTTGCACAACAATGTGATTGTACTTAATGCCACTGAACTGTACACTTAGAAGCAGATATATTAGAATCCTGCCAATTGGTCAGTTTGTTCTCCTCCTCCTCCTCCTCCTCCTTCTTCTTCCTCCTCTTCTTTCTTCTTCTCTTTCTCCTTCTCCTTCTGCTTCTTCCTTTCATTGTACCTTAAGCCATTACTTCTATCTGACATGATCTTGATGGTTTATTTTAGTTTTTCATTTTTCCCACTGAATGACAAGCTCCAGGAGAGAAGAGAAACTTCATCTTACTGCTCTCCTCTCCTGGCTCTGAGCCTGATGCCTGACACAGAGCAGATGCTCAGTAAATATTTATCAAGTCACTCGACCAATCAATCAATCAAGTCACTAGAAAAGAAAGATTTTCAAGTGGGCCCCCAAGTCTACTCTCCATCTGGAGAAAGGATGCAGCCCTCCAACTTGTTCTGCACCCCAGGAGGTGGATTTTTGTGGCTATCAATGGGCTCCCTGTCTTGGAGAATCTGGTGGAGTGTGAAAGGAAAATAAATCTTGGGACCCAGAAATCACTAAGCCAAAGGGAAAAGTCAAGCTGGGAACTACTTAGGACAAACATGCCTCCGATTCTATTCCTAAAAAAGATAGCTACTAAGATAAAAGAGGTACATATCTCCCTCACAAGGAATTTCCTCGCAGGCAAAGGACAGACAGAACTCAGTCATCCCTCTGCTCACTGAGATAAATGCATATCTGCGTGCCTCCTTTGGAAAGGCGAATCAGAAACTCAAAAGAACGCAACCATTTGTCTCTTACCTATGACCTGGAATTCTCCTCCCCGCTTTGAGTTGTTCCACCTTTCTGGGTGGAACCAATGTGCTTCTTACATTTATTTACTGATGTCTCATGTCTCTCTAACACGTAGAAAACCAAGCTGTGCCCAGACCACCTGGATCACATGTCATCGGGACCTCCTGAGGATGTGTCACAGGCACTCATTTTTAACTTTGGCAAAATAAACTTCCTGAATTGACTAAGACTTGTCTCAGATATTTGGGGTTCATCGCTTAAAGGAAGCCCCAGAAAATGGCAGCATTGGGGCAGATTAAGGTGGGAAACCAGGAAATTAGAAGACGAGCTTCAGGCAGCCAAGAGAGCAAGTGACTGCTTCTCTCTTGCTCTGCTATTTGAGATGCTTCCCCGGTGCAACTATCTGTGATAGGCAATGCCACATAAAGACAGGCCAGGAATAGGCCAGGGACCCTCAGCTAATGCAGCAGAAGCCATTATATTAGTTTTCTAGGCCTGCCATAACAAATCACTGCAAATTGTCTGGTTGAAAGCAACAGGAATTTATTCTCACACAGTCTTGGAAGGCAGAAGTCTGCAATCAAGGTGTTGGTGGGGCTGTGCTCCTTCCAAACCTCTGGAGGAGAATCTTTCCTTGCCTCATTCTAGTTTCCCATAGTTGCCAAGAATCCTGGGCATTTCTTGGCTTGTATATCCTCCACTCCAATTTTCATGTCTTTTTTTGAATTGACAAGTAAAAATTGCATATATTTATGATGTATGATGTACAATATGATGTTTGCACGTGTGTCTGTGTGTCTGTGTGTCTGTGTGTGTATGCATTATGGAATGACTACATCAAGCTATTAACATATGCATGTAAACTAAAAATAAAATTCTATGCCCTACCAACTATCTGAATGGACTCCTCTTGGCCAAGGGCATTCCAAAGTTAACCTGAAAGAGTAGTTCAGGCCATGATGGGAAGATGGAATCAGACATGCCTCATTATGCCCTCCTCCATTTGGAATTCAGGCATAGGTGGCCAGCATTAACATTAAAACAGAGATCTTGGCCAGGTGTGGTGGCTCACACCTGTAATCCAGGCACTTTGGGAGGCCGAGGTGGGCAGATCACTTGGGGTCAGGAGTTCAAGACCAGCCTGGCCA